CTACGAAATCAGCCAGACAGCCGCTCCCAGAGTCGAAAAACCGATTCGGAACCCTCAAGCTACTTCAACCCATAAAGTAAACAGCGAACCCCTGTAACATGCCAACCCGATCAACGAGGCATTTCTCGCACGCGTTGCTTTCGTCAGACGTTTCTGGACCCCATGCGACTGCAACTCAACAAATCCAATTACTTCTATCGTCACCATCACATCCACCCCCACGACGTCCGAGACGGCGATAAACTCTACCACTTACATCGTTTCTCGGGCTCCTGATGCCCCGCCACCCCCCGCTGACATCGTTAATCAACACTTTTGTCATTCCTTTCACAGTCCGCGCAACGGCGACGACCACAACCACCTCTCATACTGTCCCCACGAGTGAAAACACGCTTGACGTCAAATCCACCACCAATCGCCAACACCGTCACGCACCACCACCAATTCGAACTCGACCACGTGCTGTTCTCATTGCGATCGCACACTCACCTCAAGCATCCAAATGGTTTGGTCAACTGCGAATCCATCGTACGGGGGCTGGTTTACTGATGTCGGCATATGACTTATGACGTACTGACGGTCGGTAACGACCGTAAAACAGCTGCATGTGTCTGTCCTCTTGCATTATTAGTGAGCTGCTAAAGCATGAACAGGTCAATACAGTTTGAGCAGTCAACAGCGCATAAATTAAGAATGAGACTGAAACTTACAATATGTCCGCTTGGTACGCTAACGCATTCCTCAATACATTAGATCTGCCGTATATGAAACTACCACGAGAAAGAAATAATAATGCCCTGGAAGGCCCTCTGAGTATTTTGGAGTAAGATGCGGATTGAATCAGGCTCAACGGCTACTTTTAATTGTGGCCTTTATTGCACATTTGCATTTGTGTTGATACGAGTCACCCATACAGAAGCCTAACGCATTCAATGAAGACGACGTCTCGTATGGCATGCGTAGAAAGGCCGTTTGAATTTATCAGATCCTGGACCAACTTTCACCACCGCTTGACTTGACGCTGCGTCGTCACCAAAAGCAATATAAAGACGGGCGGACGGCGAGTCTACCCGGCGAGGAAGAAGGACATCTAGAATGTCAACCCGACGAAGTATCAATCACCGACCCCGGGGAAACGGTTACTCGCAAAGCACACAGACAAAAGGCCCGCAAATCATCCATCTACCTATGGAAATATGAAAATGCAGCCATAAACAGGATTGTTGTATATAGGGAGGCATATGGCACAGGCACGTAGGGAAATAGAGGTCCCAGAGGCTAGTCTGCCGCAAAATAAGCGACGACAGAGCTGAAAAAAAAAAGAAATTATTGGTGGAGAGAAAGCACGGAAATTTATGCAAAAAACATGCGAGATGGTATCGCACAGCGAAAACGCTAAGTTATCCAGTGAAAGATTTTTCGACCTACGCAATGTCGGGCAATAGCATTCAATTATCGTCATGAGATCTTTCGTTTTCTACTTTTTTCGTTAAAGAAATCCTTTGCCCTGTTCATAAGAAGAAGCGATGGCTGGAACAATGGCTTTATTCGCCTGACGTTTCGGATTCTCTCTTGAATCCATCATCAGAGACAGTTGCAGAAAAGGGTGGCTAATGTACAGGAAGTCGCAGTATTTATAGGATGCGGTCGCCATGCT